TTTTTTAGAGGGCCAAGTTAATGTAACTGCAAAAGCCAGTGACAGGAAATTCAGAATGAAGAGAAGCCTCTGAAAAGTTTTAGACTTAGGATGTTGCATATTGATGTCACAATCTTTTTGTTATCAGGCATGGTTGAAGTAGGACCTTGGTCTGATGGTCACCCACTACCCAATCCCCTATTTTCCGTCGGGGCAGTGAGGATTCGTACTACAAGTCAATGTTGTCATGTGCGAGGGAAAAACAAATGTACAATAATAAGGTTATTCTTATGATAAAAGGTTTCAACCTATAAGGTTCATGATCATTATTTATGGAGGAATTTTTGTTTTTCTTTAAAAAAAACTGAATTGTTGATGTATTTAGCAGATCAAGACTGCAATTGAGTCTATAATTTACTGAGAGTAGCTTGAACATAATCATGTAGAACCAAAGCATGTGAGCAGATGCTTTTCGTTTAGAAGATCAAATTATAGTAGAACATAAATGTAAAAAGAATTTAGTTATGGTGTATGATGCAACATAATAATTAGTGAATAGTTTATTGTTGTGACCTGTCTATGGTCTTCTCTCTATTGCTGATTTGTGGACTGCAAACTGCCATTTCTGCAGCTGATATTTCTTTCATTGTCTTTCTGTTAGATTCAGTTGTAAGATTCTGAGTTTCTATAACACTTGTTTTTATTTCTTACTTTTGTGTGTAATTGTCGTTATGCCTCATCATAGTTGGCGATCTCTCCCTCTCTTCTCTAAGGCATGAGCCTCCAATTTAGTAGAGTTTTCTGACTTAATTTTCTTTATCTTGACCTGTGAAAATTAGTAAGGATTCTGATTATTTGCCCCATTTGCAGTTATATGAAACTGAGCTCCAATGAGTTTAACATCGGGGATGCTCTGCAAGTTGTTATGAAACAAGTTATGACACTAAGCCAGGAGCGTCAGGTGGAGATAATTTGTGATGTACCTGCTGAAGTGACAACCATGCAATTATATGGAGACAACTTGAGGCTTCAGCAAGTGCTTTCAGATTTTCTGAGCAACACAATCTTTTTCACACCTTCGTTTCAGGGATTATCTGTTACATTTAAAGTTACTTCACGAAAACAAAGTATAGGGACAAAGATGCAACTTGTTCATCTTGAATTTAGGTAAATATTGTCTCAATATATTAATAAGCTTTGATTTTTGCTCTTAGAAGCTTACTCTATCATTCTACTTGCATGTTCTCTCCTACCAAATTAGGCAACTTATTTTTAGCAAATATGAAAAGAAGTTTTCTGGCTTGCTCTGTATCTCAAATAAAATATATTGCTTGAAGATAATATTAGAATTTCGATGAGTCATGTTTTCATGTACATAGTCAAGCATATACCACCTGTATGAGTCAGAATTATGCTACCATGATTTCAAGATTTATAGATAAATATTGTTCGATATGCAATGTGTTCATATTTTCTGAAATGTACAATAAAAAGTCGTACGGCACCATCAATCTGGCATTTGTAGAGGAGAAAAAGAAAAAGGAATAATGACTGTTTTTACACCCAGAAGCTCTTTCGTTTTTGGTTTGATTTTGAAGATTCAAAGTGGCACTCTATGTAACTCTCTAATGAGATTAAGATTTAAAAGGGAAATTTTTGTAAATACAGATCTAAGCGTACATATGAAAGTTGCTCTCTTATCTCAGACTACAATCCACCAGGCAACAGGATTGATTCTTGGACAGTTGAATTTAACTTACTCAGTTTATAGAATCTGTGCATTAAAAATAGTAAGTGGTATTGATTTGTTGCCTTCTATGTATTCGCAAATGACTAAAGGGTAACAATAGATGCAGTCAGTGTTGGTGATTCTAACTGCATATTTAATGTTGTAGGATTTCTCACCCAGCACCCGGGATTCCTGAAAGTTTGGTTCAAGAGATGTTCCACCATAGCCCCGGTACATCAAGGGAAGGTCTTGGCCTGTACATCAGCCAAAAGCTTGTGAAGATCATGAGCGGAACTGTACAGTATCTTAGAGAGGCAGAAGGATCAACCTTTATTATTCTCGTAGAATTTCCACTAATTGATCAGATTGACTGCTATAAGAACTCTTAGTTTTACCGAATTTGATGAGGGGGTCGCAAAAAGTAATCACAGACAGCCTTTTTCAATGAACTAGCTTTGTTGAGTAACCTCACTTCCAACGCAATGTGGTGAGTGGCTAATGGCATTGAGTCAAATGGATTGTGAAGGCTTTACTAGAGATGCACTGCTTAAGTTGGTGAGGCAGGTGAGTGCCTAATGGCACTGAGTCAAATGGAGTGGAAGGCTTTACTGAAAGAGTAAAACGAACTGCAAGTTGGTGAGACAGCTATCTTTCTCGAATTCCTGAAACATGTGAAATTTGTATGATTGGTTTTGCATCGAAGGCTTGTGGAAATAAAGTAAACATAGTTTCAATGTGGACCTCACTACAGCTGTCAACGAGTTTCCTTTCCCTGCCGCATTTTCTTTGTTGGGTGAATAGCTAATTCCTTAAGCTTTTACCTTACAGGATTAGTTGCATCGCCAAGAAGATATGAAAGTTATCTCTGATCAAATGTTAGGTCGGAGTTCTGTTATTATGCTGTTTGGAAAGTTGAATCAAGTCACAATTCGGGCATTAATTTATCTGAATATATTTCACTGGAAATATATGCTGATGTTGTGGATCTGCACTTAAATGGAAATCTGTGACACCCGGAGGATCGCATAATGGAATTCTATACGAAGTTCTTCTGGAATGTGTAGCGTTGTCACTTCATCCCCATCAATCTACATAGAAGAGAAATTGTACCAAGCTTGTTATTGTTGGCATATTAATGAATTTAAGATAGGTTTTCTGTAAAGGTTTCCAGGTAGAAATTGAAGGTTGACCGTGGTGTCAGATCATTTTCTACAAATCCCATCCAGTTCTCCAGTCAGTCAGTGATTGAACATATTATGTTGAAGTAGTATGACTCCATTAATACAGTTGTGCTTGTGCACATCTTCTCACTATCTTGTCTGAAAATAATATTTTAGATTTTAAATTTATTTTTATGGTCATTTTATATTATTTAATTATTGTCATAAATAAAATACATATAAATTTAGAAAATAAAAAATGAAAAAAAAAATATCAAAGGAAATCTAATATTTTAAGTTGAAACACATATAGAATGGGCCTTCTGAGTAAAGCGGTGGGCTTCAATGAGACTGTAAACATGGGTCTATACCCATTTGGACCTCCATCCTCTTTCGCTTAAAAATTATTTTCTCTACACTCGGAAGATGAACAACCCAAAAGAAAAGGCACAGAGCTGAGGTTGTGAGACTGGAAAAGAGGGGTTTTAATTGGTTCTCCCTCTCTCATAAGTTCTCTGATTAAACTCATTTTCAGTGTTAATAATCTATTAAACACCTCTCCAGCTTCCCTTTTGATGTGTTCTCCAAGTTCTTCATGATTGTCTTTCAACTCTAGACAGAGCACTTACCCAAGCTGTTTTTGCACAACCGCATTGTTCAAAGACAAGGGAAGTCAAATTCATCTCGCCGCGCTTTCGGCAATCTTTTCCCTGATGAGTTCCTTTTCGCGGTTTGTACCTCCTAACTCCTTTTCTGGTTTCTAACATTCACTATTTGAAGCAGATTTTAGGGTTTTTTTTTTCTTGTTTGCTGGATATGAGTTTCATTTTAAATGGCGAACTGGGTTTGCTTGTAATTTGCTTGTTCTTTTTCATTTTCTGGTAATGATTAATCTCTTTTGGAATTTTGGTAGGTATGTTGGCTGACTTTTGGTAAATTTTTTTATTCTGATTAATTTGCATTCGGTTGTAAATTGTTTTTCTGGTAGGCTTTTTATCCTTTCGTTGGGTGCTTGGCAGAAGAGACACTTGGTTTTTACGGGAAAGTCCTGAAAGCTCATGTAAATTTGATTAGATAACAAACAGAACGATTATGCACATAACATACTTCATGTTACTTCAGATTTTTGTTTTTGGGTTATATGACTTTCAGGCCTTGGATTTGCTTTCCTTACATCCTCTAACTGTATGACAAGAGCCAACCTCAAGTCAATATTGTTTGTTGCTTTAGTTTAAGAAAGTGAGAAATGCATTCCTTTTCATGTTGACTTCAAGTTGTTCTTCTTGCTCCATTCGAATACTAATTCTAGTTCTGAAGCTCAACGATCTTTTCCTTTCACGTGTTTGTTCAGCAACCAAGTCAATCATTAAGGTCCAAGAAGTGGAAGAAATTTTGTTTTTTGTTTTTTTTTCCCATAAAATGGCAATGAAACCATCAAATAACATCTGGATTCGGCGCCAGCAGTGTCCATGTGGAGACTGGAAGTGCTATATTAAGCTGGAAGGAGATGATCAGACATCAGTAAGCAGTCAGGTAGCAAAGACTGAGACAACATCGTCATCGTCATCATCTGATGTAGTTTTCATGCCTTATGTGGGTCAAGTATTCAGAACTGATAACGAGGCTTTTGAATACTACAGCAATTTTGCTCGGAAGAATGGATTTTCAATTAGAAAAGCACGCTCAACTGAAAGCCAGAACTTAGG